AGCAACAAAAACTGCCGGGAAGCATGCAAAAGACGCATCTTCGCACGGGCAGCCTGTGCGTTGGCCAATTATTTTAATTTGTTTTGCGCTTATACTAATAAAGAGGTGTTTGGAGCGTTTTCCCGCAGCTGCCCAGGCCCTCCTCCTGAACGTTACATCGAGTGTTGGCGGTTCTGGCGTTCTTCTGTCTTTTGAAAGGATTGCCGACTTCGCGGGTGTCCCGAGAGAAGCAGTTGGCAAGGCTTCAGCTGTCTCAAGATGCCCTTGATGTGTTGATTGCAGATTCTGGCGAAAGAGCGTTGGAACACGAATTTTGCGAGGTGAGAAGGCGATGGTGGCGTTCAGCAAGTTCATGCATCTACCTGCATCACTGTGCTCCCGTTCCGCAATGCTTTGGCTTTATCCTACTCGGATTGTTGGTTTGTTTTCAATCATTTATTTTACATTTGTATTTATCATTGTGTTATCACGTTATAATTAATTGATTTTTTTTTTTTAATTTCATAAACTAAGTATTTTACAGTGATTTATTACTTCTATTATTAATTCACAAATTTCACGCTAAGACTAACCCTTGATCGGCCCCCTGGTGCAACCTGAAACAACTTTTTAACCTTTGATCACCCATATGTACATTCCCTTTTATTCCCTTACTTTTTACATAAACACACATCATCTAAAATTAAAATTACAATATGTTAACCTCTTCGTTTTCTGCGCAGGGTTATACATCATTTTTTTTTTTCTACATATCATAGCAGCAATACAATCGGTTCTGGGAGCTACGGCGTCTAAGAAGCCACCGTCCTTTTCAGTTTTTACTTCCCTTCCTTCTGTTTTTTTGATGCGTTTTTTGTATCTACGCATATTGTTGAGGGGTTGTCCGTGTGTGTTTGTCTGTATGTTTGTCTGTACCGATTTTTCATTTCGAAAAGTTACAGGGCTGAAACTTTGGGAACTTAATCTACATGTACATACGGGCATTCTTCCCCAAAATGGGCGCCCTAGCCGACGTGGTTCCCTCGCAGGGGCCCGCCAAAGCGTTTGGCGGGAAGCTGCTAAATCGGGAACCAGAAAAGCTAAAAGGCTGAAATTTGAGAGGATGTTTCCATACAGTCCTGTTGGCCAGTCTCAATTCTGTTAGCTAGAAGATCTGCTGAAAAACCAGTGCCGTTAGTGACGAAAACCTGCGAGGAAGTATGGAAAAAACGTATTTTCGCATCGGCAGTCTGTGCGCTTGCCATTTATTTATTTTGTACTATAATATTATATCTTCTGTTAATAAATGATATTTACGCACTCGCTCACACACTAAGCTAGTCAAATGTCGCAGACATGCAATAGTGTGAATGTTTAAAATTTGAAATTGAATCAGAATCCTGTAGAAAATGACTCAGGAAACCTTTACCCAGATTTAAGAATAAAATGAAAAATGTTTGATAAAACTAAACATTGTAAACGGATAGAGCAGTAGATCCTTCCAGTATCTCTTCGTGACCATATAAGCAATCGGACTCTCTGTCATATGAGCAGCATATAGGACTTTAATTTTAGTTGGTTATATGTTTATGAAAGATGTAAGGGAATAAAAAAGGAAAATGTGAATAAAATAAGATTAAAATCTGAGTAGGAATGTTCCGGTCCATCAAGTCGTATACATTCCTGTTCAGTGCTGCAACTGGACCTCGTCACTGCGACGATGTTTTTGCATTTAATGGGATATTTGCTTATCACAGTTCACCACTCGGCATTGCTAAGTGACCTTGGAATCTAAGTATAAAATGATTCGTTTTAGTTTCGCAGGCACGGCTC